GTTAAGGGCAGTAGGACCTTCATATTGGCTTTATTTATGACAGAGCATGAAGAGAATTTGCAGTTGCATTTTAATACTCTGCTGCTCTATGCTTGAACTTATTAGATTTTGAGCCAAACTTTAAAGTATTTTAAGGAATGTACATTACTGAAATGGAAATCATAAAGAACATCTGTGGATATCACTTGAGATGTTAACTTCTTAAGTACATTTAGTTGACTTTACTGCCGTTGCTTGCTCATTTTATCCCCCAAAATCAGTAGCAAAACTATCCAGTTAAATGAGTTTGCAAAATACAGTGTAACTGGCAAGTCACAGGCATTATGTTCGGATGAGAATGGAGACCCACAAATTTGGGAGCTGATGTTCACATTGTCTTATCACAGAGCTTAGCTGTTGCTATTCATGAGCTACGCAGATTTTGTGTAAAGTCTAATCCCTGCTTCTTCTCCTTTCTCAGCTTACAATGCAGTTCTTCCGACAGCCATCTGGGAAGATATTCTGAGTTATAAAGAGGGGTACTGAGTTAAACCAGTACTTAAACATTCAAAACAAAATATTATTCCATCATTATTTTATGCAGATGGAAGACTATTCAGCAGAAAATAACACGGAGGAAAATTCACAGCCTTTTTTCTTCACAAACATTAAAGATGCTTCATGAGCCAGTTAAAGTGAAACTTCACGAAGTGCTACTGCTTTGAACAGGAACTTGTATTAGATGACTGTCTGAGGTCCCTTCCAGTCTGTATTATCCCCTAATCCTATTTTTAAATACTCTTCAGTGACTATCTGTTAAACTTTGTTTATGCCCTCTGATGTTTGGTTTTTACTGTACAAATAGGGTTTGCTCAGCCACTTTGAGGTAGCAGTCTGTAATACATGGGAAAGCCTACAGAAAGCAGTACTGCACTCACGTGGAAAGTGGCTGTTCCTCCAGGAAGAAGATAATTTGTCACTCAGTTATTTGGCTCTTTTGAATCGTTCCAGTGTACAAAGAATGAAACCTACTTCTAAGGGAAACAAAGAGCTGCTTATTTGCAGATTGGTGTGGTTTCTTTGCCCTCTATTAGGGATGCTTGCAAGAAGTTGTTCCATTTTCTTGGAGCTGCTGTTTTATCCTGCTGGTTTCAAACACTGGTTTCTGAAAAATACGGTTCTCTTGTCATTGCACAGTGCTAATGAAATCTATATGATTGTTTAAATAAGAAAGAACAGAGCACAGATATATATTTTCAGTAATAGAGGCCTATAATTTCAATGGAATTGAGAAGCTGACTTTTCAGTTTAACTTACAGAATGGCTGTCTTTCAGGCTTTTTTGATACTGAGTGAAATAGTAAAAGAGAATGCAGTATCAGCTTCAGTGCTTCCTCTTCCGCCTCAAATTACAAAGTAGACCTGGTTACAATTGTAGTACTTCATGTTACATCAACTTTGGGTGTCTCTACTGATTTTCAATCAATTGTGTGTATAATTTTAAATGAGTGCAATGTGCAGATAATCTGCAAATGTAGGAAGCCTGTTATTTGGTACATATTCTGCCAAATATTCCAACTTTAAGAGCTATAGTAAAACTAGCTGGCTGACCAAACATTAAAGTGACCTGAGATTATTCAAAGAGGAACTTGACATTCTAGCTATTAAAAGAAGTCAATTTTCTGACAGTTGCTATAGCAATGTCTTATTTATAACAAAAGAAAAGGTTTCTGAAACTAAAAAGATTTTAAATGAGTATGTTTACAAGACATGTGAGAACTGCCTACAGCACTAAATGTTAGTTTATTATGTTCTGGCTCTCTAATAGTACAGAAATTACTTGAATTTTCTTCTATAGGGCCAGTGTATTGCCACATGTTTTGTTCCAAAAGTATTAGCATTTTAATAAATGGTGACCTAAATTCCATAGCAAGAGTTAAAATATAAAGAAATAAATTCAGAATTGCTATTTTTAAAGATCAAGCAGAAACTGCCAGGCATTCTGCAGGCATATCAGTACCTGAATGCAGTTATTTCAGCTTTAAACTTCATTCATTCTAGTCTTTGGAAAAAGGGCTAAAAACAGTGTAAGTCTGAATATCAATTACAGGATGTCACACTGATACTAATTACTATGATCGATATTTTCTGTACTTCAGTGGTGAAGTTCTACAGACTTTCTGATCATTGGAGCTGATAAAATATTCCTTTATGATACCACTTTACATGATACTGAACTGGGGAGATGCTGTTGACTCTCTGGGGAGGGATGAGAGATCCTACAAGAAAGATTTGGATAGACTGGAGAATTGAACAGTAATCAGCACCAGGGAATTCAACAAAGGTAACTGACCACCTACTGGTATTGCATCTGGAATACAGTAGCACTGGATACAGGCACAAGCTGGAAGGTGAGCGATGGTGAGCAGCTCAGCAGATCTGGGGGTGCTGCTGACAGCAGGCTCAGCACAAGCCAGTGGTGTGCCCTGGTAGCTAAGGGGCAATCTGTTTTTTAGGATGCATTAAAGGCAGCATAGACATCTGATGGAAAGAGGTGATTATCTCACTGTATTTAGCATTGGTGCAGCCTCGTAATGAACATTACATGCAGTTCTGGGCTCCACAAAAAATAGCAGATCTTAGGATATTTGAATGCGACCAGGGGAAGGTAACAAAGCTGGTAAAAGGGCTGGAAGACATGTCTTACAGAGGAGGCTGAGGACACTTGGGTTATCTGTTTTGAAGAAAAGGAGGCTGAGAGAGGAAATGAAAAGAGAGAGGTGCTGATCTCTTCTCTCTGGTAAGCAACGATTGAACATGAGGTAATGGCACAAAGCTGAGCCAGGGGAGGCTCTGACTGAATATAAGGAAAAAATTATTTATTATGAAGGTGGTTAAACACTGGGACAGGGTTCTAGAAAGGTGGTTGATGCCCCACAGCTATCGGAATCTAAAAGGCATTTGGATAATTCCCTCATTAATATACTTTAATTTTTGACTAGCCCTGAAGTGGTTAGGCAGTTGGCCTCAACCTTTGTGTAGGTCCCATTCCATTCAAGTTCAGTTAATTGCTGAAAGTTATTTACTGACTACAGCCAGAATACTGCCCAATACAAGGTAAGTGTTATTCTGTGTTTCTTGTCTTCCTTCAGTACTGCAAGGCCTGCAGTGTAACTTAAAAACAAGAAGTTTGAAGAAACTTCATGGAGAAATAGATTCACCTATTGGCCACCCCATTAAAATTACACAGCTCAGGAGGTTTGCATTTGGGACAGAAGAATAATGATGTGAAATAAAATAGGTTAGCTATTTCCAGAAATGTAGTTGGAGAGGGAAGTGTTATTTTTGCATTCGTGTTTGTTTCTGTTGCTATTCTAACATCTCCAAGCAATTGGAACAAGCTTTGATACTCAAAGATGATGTCCCGGTGTTGTGGGTCTGGTTTCATAGAGTTATATATAATAAATTGATTTAAGTGCTATATAACTGTAACTTTCTCTAGTATAAATAATGTTTCACTCCACAAACTACTAGTAGGATTTGGGAAGCCGGAGAAAATGCATTGCTGAAAACTGATATAAAAAGAAATGAGTCCATCAAACTTTTCCATGTCCTCTGGCAGTAGGTGGGTCCCAATGAGCTGTGGATGCACTTTCCTTAGCTTTCCTTTTGCTGTCACATACTTAAAGAAGGTCTTATTGTTTTTCATATGCCTCCTTCGAATTCCTGCTAAGCTTTGTCTTTCCTAATTCCAACCTTCTGTATGCAAATAATTGTTAAAACTGCCTTCCTCTTCCTGAAGTTCTATATCAAATCTTGTTTTCCCTTCTTATCTTCCTGTTACCTCATCAACTTTTATTAGTGGTTACTTTCTTATAAACTGAGGCAGAATAGACAGTCAAAGGTGAAGCCATCAGTAAGACTCAACTGAGCAACAGTCCAGGCACGTAGCACCCCCTGGCAGATGTGACATGAGAAACAGAACTTTGAGGCTACTGTTGTTACTTGCAAACATATACAGTAGAACAAGAGAAGAGAAGATCTGATCCACCCTGGCTGCTGTGTCAGACCCAGAAATGCTAAATTCCAGTACACGTTCTGATAAAACAGTAGAAAACAGAACTACCATGTACCTATCCAGAGACATTCCAAGGCACCAGGCCTGCATCCAGCATTCCATGTGGAAGATAAGCTGGAGGAAAAAGGATGTGAGATGATCACTGCTTCCTCTACAACTTGATGTCTGTCTCATCACAAAATAAGCAAGGTTATAGTTCGAATTGAAGCTGGCTCTAGAAGCAACAGAGTATTGGCAGTATTACCTTATCAAAAATCCTGATGGCATTTGCATGTGAAGTAGCAATGAGATGTGTTGAATTAGCTCAACTATCTCTGCTCCTGTGATGGATTACTTAGGTTGTAGATAATCTCTAATTAACTATGTATGGCACGATGTTGAGTATCATCTTCATAGTTAAAAATCCTAATATGAATGGGGACTTCTATAAAATCCAAATAAGAAAAAAAGTACAAAACCTGTGTTTTTTTAAACTGCAAACTGTAAAATGCAAATGTGAAATTAATGGCACAAATAAAAAAGCAATTTCTTCTCAGAAAAGACAGCAGAGCCTCTCTCCACTATCTCATACAGAGTAAGAATAACAGACTAAGAAGAAACTTGTGGAAAAGGTGGAACTTGGTAATGCAGAGGTGTTCTTAGCCCATCAGAATGTAGAGACAGGGGAGAAGCTTGATGAACAGATATTTCAGCTCAGTGTGACAGGAAGAAGTAATAAAAGAGATTAACTCAAGGTTGTGGGGCAAAACCCACATTATCTAGTGTGCATACTTGGTAGAAGGCAGTTTAATCTCAAGGTCTTACCTGGTGACCAGCTGACAGCAAATTTCAGTTTAAGTATAAACAAAGCACTGAGAAAAATCAAGATGCTATGATACAGTCTTTATTTAGCAAATTCATAAGCTGTATCTACAAAAGCAATTTATATATGCAGAAAAATGCTCTTGATGATCTGCCAAAAAGTTATTTTACAAATCCATCTTTCTATCTCCACTTCTTTCATCTTCATCTAAGTTCAAAAGACGAGCTGCACAGCCAGTGGGTGGGAATCAGTAAACAACCACACAGCTTGTAAACATCACAGGAGGGAAGGAGAACTGGTGTGAGAAACATTAGGGACACGTTGCACTATACTGTGATTACTGAAATTACCTTGTTTACTGTCAATAAGCCTTACAGCAATCAGAAAACTTTTTAGTTGAGTTGACCTACTTTTAGCAGTAGCATAACATTACAAGCTGTGATGCAGATCAGGTTGTTGTTCCTAGCTGATCATGTGGTGGCACTGTATGCTGATGAAACCTAGAAAATGAGTCATCTAAGGATGTCGTTTGACAGCCTCTCCAAGAGAACATGCAGAATAAATACTGCCAAAAGCCACAGTGCAACACTTAGCAGCAAACTCCAATCACTTACTGTGCACCAGCATTAGCATCGATCTGATCCTGAGGAGAACTGGAGCACATTAAAGAATAAATAAGAGAAGAACACACTACTATTCTTGTTGGTTTAGCACTCTAAACCAGTTCTATCCTAAGTCAGATGAACATTAATGCCGGTATGAAATAGAAGAAACGATGATGACCCTTTAGGCAGCAGCTAGCTGCTAGGTTTGCCTGTTTTGGCACTACAGCTAAGCATAAATGCGGCACAAGGACGCAAGAAAGTTCAAAGTTAGAACAACAATTTGATTTAAAAGCCATCTGAAACAGGCCAGTCAAACTAGCATCTTTAAACACTGTCACTGCACAAACCTTGACATACCTTGCTGACACTGGAAAGTCCATTAAGCTTCACCCTGAGCTAGGAGATACTTTAAAAAAAAAAAGTAGAATTTTATCAACAAGAGCAAGAAGCATTCAGAACAAACCTTGGATTCTGACTCAGTCTTAAAGTATGCTATGAATCCAGGTACTGTTTACATACCTAATATATCTTGCTATAAACTACCTATAATCCAGAGTTCTATTATTCCCAGCATTTAAATTTCAAGCAAACATCCAAAGTAGTGCAAGAAATATAGAAATACTGTTCTCTTGTTCTTCCAATTTGACTCTGATACTATAAAACAAAACAAAAACCAAGTAGCTAGCAGAAAACAAAAGCAGCAGAAATTCTCAAATGCAATCCTGTGGATTTCAATTCAGTAAAAGATAAGAGCAATAAGAAATGGCATCTGAACAAGGCATGACACAATGCACACATCAGGATTATTGAACAGAAAATGTCATTAGTTAAGTGAAATTCTGTGATGCCCTTCAGTAGGTAACTTTAGCAAGTAGCTTTAATTAAAAACAACTCTTACAACTCAGAATTTTATCTCCACACATTTTTCTTTTTTTTTTTTTAATGTCCTTGGAGGCTTGCCAGTAATTTCTTGGAGCCCTGAAATAAGAATTTGGAGTCAGATACGAATTCTGGTTCTGATTCTACTGCAATTCCCTATGAAATTTGACTCCTTGAAATGTATTTTTTTCAACAGCAGTCTTTAGCATTCAGCACTGTGTGTGTCTCTGCAGAAATTCAAGACTACGTAAAATCCTACCTGTACAACAAACTAGTAGTCAGACTGGAAAAGTACCTCACAATCTCTGAATAAAAAGCATCGTATCAATACAAAATACCTGATTTAGCAATGACATGCACATCTTCTATTTTTTCATTCAATCCCATAATTCCCCAAAGTCTCAGAGAAAACCTATGCATCCTGTTCTGTTTTGTTCCTTCAAGATAAGGAAAAAATCCCCAACATTCTTGTCTTTTTTCTTCACTGGCACTTTATCAGCTACCCATCCTCACTGATACGCTCTGGATTATTGCACAGCCTTCAAATCTGAACATCCTTCATTCACTTCCTTATGGTTTATTTCATAGCTGTCCATCTACATTCAAGAGGTATTTTCTTAAAAAGTTTCTGACAGCTTTTTGGGTTCCTGAAGTGTTCTTATCAATTGTAATTGCAGGTGGTAAAACAAGGTGATTTTTCTACATTCTCTGTTTAAATGGAAAGCATACAGTATTTTTCCTTTCTAAAAGCTTAGTCAAGCAAAATGCATTAAGGTTTTATCACTCCTTATATTCTCTACATTTTCACTGCAACACTGAAAACATCACCCATCTACTTTCAGTGAAGTCTGGTTTATAGTAAACCCCATGAACTCCTGCCAACAGGAACTCTGCTATGTGCAAATATCAGGTTCCTCTGCAACATCCAACAAACAGATGTTGTGCCACCATTTATTCATCAATTCGTCACCTCAGACAGAATTTGTTTTCACCATGTTTGGACTTCAAGAAAAGCTACTAAAATTGAGTGAGTTCATCTATCAAGGGTTCATCTTTATTTAAATTTATGGTCGTTTCTCTTAGTCCTGTCTATTCCACTTCTCAGTTTCTTCTCATTATTAGTTCCTTTATGAATAACGTTGCCTTGAGGTGTACCAATAAGCAGACATTTCATCAAGCTATGTATCTTCACACGGCAGTTCATCAGTTTTCATTAACTCACTCTTGCAGTTAATAACCACATAATGTTAGATGAAGTTGTTATTCAGCTGTACTAAAAGGAGATAATCTGCAAACACCGTAACATATGGCATCTGCCAAAGCATCACATTTATTCTAATTTTTGCTACATTGTAATAAATTCTTCAAAACTTGTTCTAACTTCATGAACCTAGTAAAACACATTAGTGTTCACTGGTTTTAAACATCCCTTACCAGAAACTTTGCTGAAGTTGATTATGCAATTTTCCCAGGTTCTGTATGCAATGGAAACAGTCATCATACCACATATCTGTTTAGAAAATGCTGCTTATTTCTAGAAAAAGTAGATGCAGGTGCTCTGAAATAGAAATCTATTTACCAACATACTTGTGTTTCTGGTAACACAGCAAATATCACTAGTATTGGTCATCTGTTAAAACACTATGAAAGGAGAGGTGAAGGAAAAGATGTTCCTTAAAGTTAGAATTGCATGTGGCATGCAGGTAGTGATGTAATGGCTATAAACCATAGCAGGATTATAGAATCCTAGAATGGCCTGGGAAAAGGACCGCAGTGATCATCCAGTTTCAAACCCCCTGCTATGTGCAGGGTCGCCAACCACCAGACCAGCCTGCCCAGAGCCACATCCAGCCTGGCCTTGAATGCCTCCAGGGATGGGGCATCCACAGCCTCCTTGGGAAACCTGTGCCAGTGCTTCACCACCCTCTGCGTGAAAAACTTCATCCTAATATCTAACCTAAACCTCCCCTGTATCACTCAGTTTAAAACCATTCCCCCTTGTCCCATCCACCTTTGTGAACAGCTGTTGCCCCTCCTGCTTATACGCTCCTTTCAAATACTGGAAGGCCACAATGAGGTCTCCCCGGAGCCTTCTCTTCTCCAAGCTAAACAAGCCCAGTTCCCTCAGCCTTTCCTCACAGGAGAGGTGCTCCAGCCCTCTGATCATCTTAGTGCCCTCCTCTGGACTTGTTCCAAGAGCTCCACGTCCTTCCTGTACTGCGGGCCCCAGGCCTGGATGCAGTACTCCAGATGGGGCCTCACAAGAGCTGAGTAGAGGGGGACAATCACCTCCCTCTCCCTGCTGGCCACCCCTTTTTTAATGCAGCCCAGAACACAGTTGGCCTTCTGGGCTGCAAGCGCACACTGCTGGCTCATGTCCAGCTTCTCATCCACCAGGACCCACAAGTCCTTCCCACAGGGCTGCTCTGAAGGAGATCTTCCCCCAGTTTGTATAAACACCTGGGATTACCCCAGCCCAAGCACAGCACCTTGCACTTGGCTTTGTTGAACCTCATTACGTTCTCATGGGCCCACTTCTCCAGTGATAGAAGTTATCCATTACCCCAGAAAATTCTACTAGTCAAACCAATCTCATTATCAGAAAAAAAAATCTGTGGCTGCAAGTATTCTCACGGGTTCAAACAAAATGTGTACGTTACAGAGACCATGATTTATAACGAACACTGGAGGTGAAACTAAGGCTTAAACAGAGCTTGCAGCATACTTGAAGTGCACATTATTACGTGAAGTACCTTCACTGTGCTTTTAAGGTACTTATGGAGAAACATTAAGAAATGTAATTCCCTGAAGTCATTATAAAGATACGCTTCTTTTATACAAATTATCCTAATTAAAAGGAACAAACAAAAAAACCCTTTGGATAACACACTCATTTTTTTTCACAAATTCTAATGACTTAAAGACAAATTCTTTGGCAGAGTAACTGCCACTCAGCTTCTAATTCAGACAGTTATTTGTTTTGTAGCGTAAATTATGCTGTTTCTCTTTACAGGTGTTTCCCTTCAGGCACTTAAAAGTTCTCTTATGTATCCTTCAATAAAAATACAAATTGTACAGTGAAAAAGGAAAAAAAATCTTAAAAATCTATCAGCTGCAAGCTACTGTGAACATTAAAAATTATATTTAGATTACTATATTTCTGTACTGTGCTTAAGCAATGCCCTGTTACACATTCTTCCTCTCTTGCCCTATTTCAAGGATACCTTCAAGTATCAAGGACACCTTACAAAGTCATTTAACCATGTATGTAAATTTGTCACCATTTCATCAATCTATGCAAATATAAAACTAATTATTTAAGGAATCAAAGCTCTTGACATTTTAATCCATCCCACTATATAGTTATTGAACTATAGAACCATGTAGATCTAAAACACAATGCCTTCCAATTTCTAATTAGAGATACATGTGACTTGCATGCAATATCTAACTTGTCTGGCTGGAAAAAAAAAATCCAAAAAAAAATGAATCCAAATGTTTTAGTTTAGCTAGTAGAATAGCTATAACCAGTGCAATTCAAAAAGTTGCAACTCATTTTCATTAGAAGATTTACACTGGAGATTATGTCGTCTATTTGGAAATAGAACAGTGATACAGATTACAGACATTATAAATACGAAATACTCCATAGCCATCTACATGAGGCTGCCACTGATTTTAATGAATACAAACCATTCAATATTCAATAACTTTCATGTATTTTAATAGGTTTCCTGAGCTACCTCATTAGCAGATTTAGATGTAAAATGTAAATTAATATTTTAATTAAGCTAGTAGTACTTAAATATTGGGTAATTTGCCATGTATGCCTTGCTTTGATAAGAGCTTCATCAGGCTTTTTACTGCGTTCTGAACTACGTAATACTGTTACGAGCACTTCACTAACATAAAACTCCTATCATATCTTTCACCTTTTGTGAAGAGTAGAAAGCTGTGACATGAAGCGGATGCATCTGACTATGGTTCTATCTTGCATTTAGTGGCAAAATAAGCATCCCGTTTCCACAGCAAGAAAATCTAGAGTTTCTGTAGCTGGAGTGTTTGCTGTCTCCTCAAGTTTTTTAGACCAGCTGATGAAAGGTCTGCCAGGAGCACAGTGCAGTGCTTTGAAAGGGCTGCAGCTACATTCTAGCTGAAAGCTAGAAAGATCTGTTTGGAAACAGATCTTGTACTATCTAGATGCTTATCAAGGCCTACTGATCTGCAGTCCTATGAAGAGTTAACAGACAGGAAAGCAATGCATGGGGTTTAGCTAATTTTTATGCCTTCCCTCTTTGATTGCTCGCAAAAACAAGAAAAATGTTTCTGAACTTTCCCTCAGTTTATCATGTGCATTCTGATACTTAACACACTCTACAACTTACTTCTGATCTACTCATTGCTCATTCCTGAAATTTCAATTTTTGTTTAGACTCAGCTGATCTGATCTGTCAGGCTAAGGAAATAATTTGATACAATGATGTACGCATAGAGTATAAGAATACACAACAAATACACCTACCAAGCTTTCCCACTAAAAGCTTCTATGAGTGCTCTTCAACAAGTCTTTGAGGTCAAACAATATTTTTGAAAGTTTCAAGTGACTTTCTTCAAATAAACTATTCTGTCATCCCCAAAAGGTAATTTCCAGTTATCTCTCAGATATATGCGTCTTAGACTGTAAGTAACATCAGACATTTTCTGAATTACCCTTGCATTACAAATCTGTATGTACAAGCTTGCAATCCTTTTATGTTCTAGATGTTGTTGGTAAAGAGATTTTAATGGGACTTTGATAAGAAAATTTCTCCAAACCAACAGCACTCCACAGTTTTACAGTCTTATTTCACAGCTCTTTTTAACACAGCAGAAAACAATGCAGCAGATTGGAAAGATGCAGAAGGAAAAAGTTGCAATAGTTCTATAACTGCAAAATAGCCCCAGTACAGGAAGGATGTGGAGCTCTTGGAACAAGTCCAGAGGAGGGCCACTAAGATGATCAGAGGGCTGGAGCACCTCTACTACAAAGAAAGGTTGAAGGAACTGGGCTTGTTTAGCTTGGAGAAGGGAAGGCTCTGGGGAGACGTCATTGTGGCCTTCCAATATATAGTGCCACATGCATTATTACCTATGTAATTATGAAACAATATGTGCTCAATTTAATTTATGTATGCATTGCAACATGTATGCAAGAAAAGTACTAAGTTTGTCCATGCGTCCTTGAATTCAACACATAATTTAATCAGGTCCTTCCCTACTGTGACCAGGTAACCCACATACCTTTGAGCTACAATCTTAGCGTTCCTCTATGCACAGTTTCTGGTTGGACATACACACACTACCTTAACTCAGTATCTGAGAACAATATCACGGGTGATAAAGCAGCAGCTTGCTGAGGCATTATGCTTGGAAGGCATCTTCTGATGCACCATTTGTCTTTGCCATCATGGCATACAAACAACCCTGTATAGCAGATTGCAGCTGTATATTACAGAACAGTTGCTCTCAACCATAAAAAAGTTCATGTCAACTCATAATTTTACTAAATAATTAGGAGATTCAAGAATCAGAAAATCATTCTAAAAATAAAATCTATGCATGCTAATGAGAAAAAGAAATCTACATAAAGACTATTACCTGCCAGCCTTATAGCTACAATTATTATAGCTAATTATATATCTGCAACAAGGGAGTACTTCATCTCCTACAATCATTTGGGAGTCCTCAAAATGCCCTCAGGTGAGGGAAAGCAGCAAGGAACAGATTAACTTTGTAAACCCTGAAAGTTGAGAAACTTTCAGCCAGTAGAAACAGTGATACCCATACTCCTTTCAGTAGTTGCAGTTCTTTCTTCACTTTGTGCCTATCACCTGGCACTATGTCAGGAATTTTAGGGCCAGGTACAGATTTTTGTTAATTGGCAATACTCTAAAATGAATAAAAGATACTGATCTGCTGGAAATGTATGTAGCTGATGCCAGCTGATGTAGCTGGCAGTAAAAGGAGAAAGATTCATTATTACTTGACTCCCATTTATATTAGCTTGTAAATATAATCCCAAGTACTCCTGCCCACTGGCTTCCAGAACACAAGATACCAGGAATACTGAGATACTGCAACAGTGAATTACAGAAGTAGAGGATAATTTCTGTCAGAAAATATAATGCAGCAACTTGAACTGGTACTAGAATTGCTTCCCAGATGCATACAGCCCATGGGTGCTTGGCTGTTTCCCTGCTGATAGGCTTCACTCAGTCAATAAACCTTAGGAGAAATGGGATAGCTGGACAAACAGGAAAGAAGTGGCTGGAAGACTTCCATAGTGGTAAGGAGGACAAGTGAACTCACTGAGGATACCTCAGTGTTCCTACAAGAACAAATAATGACATAAAGCTGTAGTTTTACTTAGGTCAAAGTTTAAGTCAATGTATCCCACCATTTATTTTTTGAAAACCTTCTCTTAAGCTCTGAAGCTGTAAAGCCAAATAACCAGTATGCAATGAAAGGTCTGACTAGAAGATAATAATGGAAACCTTTTTCACATACTCGTGATAATCCTGCTTCTTCCAGCGTTTCTAAATTGCTATTTTAAATCTAAATTTCATGGTTAAATATAATTGATTTGGAGCTGTTCTGTAACTGACCAATCTTACATGTTGGCCTAATTACTAACCTGATTCTATAGATGTTTGAGTTCAATGTCAGATGAAATGCTGTAAAAAATGCAGGCTAGATAAAAAAAAAAAAAAAAAGGGTAATTGCAGTATAAGCTATTTCTTCATGAATGCCTGCATATTGAACGACAGTCTGATAGCAACCTTAGCCTTCCATTTCCAATTGCTTTTACCTATTTCTCCTAGTATAACTATTGAAGCAGTATTTTCCCCTTGAGATTGGTTTCCATATCTAAGGATTTGAAAGGTTGCACAAACATTCACACCACTAGTAACAGTAACTTTTTTGTAGTTTAAACAGAACAAAAAGTCTACTTGTACTTTTTTAAAGCATTGCAGCTGGGAAGCCCACCTGTATCATGGGTTGCATTAAGAGGGGTGGCCATCAAGACAAGGGAGGTAATTGTCCCCCTCTCCTCTGCCCTTGTGAGGCCCCATCTGGAGTACAGAGTACAGCTCTGGGGACACACAGCACAGGAAGGACATGGAGTTGTTGGAACGGGTCCACTAAGATGATCAGAGAGCTGGTGCACCTCTCCTATGGAGAAAAGTTGAGGGTGTTGAGCATGCTCAGCCTGGAGAGTGCTCCTGGTAGACCATACTGCAGCCTTTCAGTACTTAAAGGGAGTTTATAAGCAGGAGGGGGACAGCCTTTTTGTGTGGGCAAATAGTGGTAGGACAAAAGGGAATGGTTTAAAGGAGAGGAGATTTAGGTAAGATGTTGAAAATTTTTTACTCCAAAGGTGGTGAGGCAGTGGAACAGGTTGCACAGGGGAACTGTGGATGTCCCATCCCTGGTTCAAGGCCAGGTTGGATGGGATCATGAGCAACTGGTCTAGTGGATGGCAACCCTGACCTTATCAGAGGGTTGAAAATGAATAGGCTTTAACGTCCTTTCCAGCCCAACCCATTCTGTGAATCATTAAAGGAGCATTTGAAGACAACTCTGTGCAGTACAAACACTAACTGGGAAATGTGGAAAGCACAAACAGGTTAATAAAGAAGGGGAGGGGGGGAGAAGAGGCCAATACTAGCTTGTTTAATGCGAAATCGCTCACTGAGGTGTTACTTACAACTTAGAGTTGTTCTGCGTTAATTTAAGGAAGATCCAGGACATGCGGGCCGTAACTTTCACCAGCTCTGAAGGTTCTGTCCTTTCCGCAGCTCCCCTGAAGGAAGGAAGAGGCAGATAAAAGCACTGATAGAAACACGCACTGCAGACTGACTCCTGAAATTACCCTCAGGCACTCCTTGCCAAGTCTGCTGCTTGGGGTGACGCTCCTACAGCGAAGAAAAACGACAGGCTTTAGTCGGGGAGAAAAAAAGAAAGAGAAAAGATCGCGTACCGACGGCGGGAAGGAGAGCGGGTGCCGGCAGGGCACAGCCCCGCCCCGCTCCTCCCGTGAGGCCGCCAATGGGCGGATCGCAGGACGCGAGGCGGGCGCCGCGGAGGAGCTCGGGGCTCGACCGGCCGGCCTGGAGCGCGCGGGGTTTGAGGCGTCACTCGGGCGGCCGCAGCAGCCCGTTCCGCCCATGGCCTCCGCGCTGGTAAGGGAGCGGGACGGGGGGCGGCGAAGGGCGCGGGTCTGTGCCACGGCTCTGACGGAGCGCCGCTTTCCCTCAGGAGGATCCGGTCTTGATCCGTCCCCTCAGAGGCCACGGGGCGGCGGTGACGGGCGTCGCCTTCAGCGCGAGCGCCGCCGAGCTCGGTGAGTGTGCGGGGCGGGAAGCGGCTCTCCCCGCCCGCCGGACTGAGCCGCTCCGGCGGCGGTTCCGGGAGCGGGTCCGGGGGGCGGGGCGGCCTCCCGCGCCGGCCGGGCGGCCGGTCTGCGAGTCTCTGCCTCTTCCTTAAGCGACAAGTTTTTGAGCAAACCACAGGGCGGGGGAGGGGTTTGTCCCGCGATGAGAGGGGAGGAGGAGGAGGGGGAGGAGGAAGTAAGCAGGCGAGCAAGTAAGCGAGGGCAGCGGCGGGGCCGTGCGGGTGGGGGCTGTGCCGTGCCTTTCTGCCGCCCCTCGTCTCCCCGGCCCGGCCTGCCGCACCCCCGGTGTCGGCCCGAGCCCCGCGCGGCGGCAGCCGGGGACGTGAGGGAAGCCGGTGGCGTGAGGGAAGCCGGTGGCGAAGGCGGCTCCCCGAGCTCCGCTCCGCGAGGGGCTGCTTGCGAGGGGCTGCCATGAGGATCCGGCTGGCGAGAAGGTGGACTTGGGTCCGCAGAAGCTGTGCGTTGTTGGGCTTCTTGACGGTCGCCTACTTTGCTTTGGAGCTGTCTGTTTCTTCCTTCGGTGCCTCCCTCGCCGGGGAGAGCATCTCCAAAGGGAAATGGGAGCGGCGCTTTACGGACGGAGCAGAAGAGGCGGTGGATTTGGCTCGCCCGGTTTATGACAAATCTCCACCCGATTCTTATGCCCCAGGAGAATGGGGCAAACCCACTCGCCTGCAGCTGAGCCCCGAGGAGAAGAAACAGGAATCAGAGCTGATCGATAAGTATGCAATTAATATTTATTTGAGTGATAAAATATCTCTCCATCGGCACATTGAAGACAATCGAATGAGTGGCTGTAAAACTAAATCATATAACTACAGAAAGCTGCCCACAACCTCTGTTGTAATTGCCTTCTACAATGAAGCCTGGTCCACGTTGCTGCGGACAGTGCACAGTGTTCTTGAAACTTCTCCTTCAGTGCTTCTGAAAGAAATTATATTGGTGGATGATTTGAGTGATAAGGTGTATTTGAAAACTGACCTTGAGAAGTACATAAGCAGCCTGAAAAGAGTTCGTTTGATACGGACCAACAAACGGGAAGGGTTGGTTCGCGCGCGCTTAATTGGAGCTACCTTTGCTACTGGTGATGTCCTCACCTTTCTCGACTGTCACTGCGAATGTGTCTCCGGTTGGTTAGAACCATTGCTTGAGAGAATTGCCGAGAATGAGACCGTTGTGATCTGTCCTGTTATTGACACCATCGACTGGAACACATTCGAGTATTACATGCAGTCAGCGGAGCCCATGATCGGGGGCTTCGACTGGCGACTGACGTTCCAGTGGCACTCAGTGCCGAAACACGAACGGCTGAGGCGCAAATCTGAAACAGACCCAATCAGATCCCCAACTATGGCCGGGGGCTTGTTTGCTGTCAGCAAGAAGTATTTTGAGTACCTGGGTACCTATGATACAGGAATGGATGTCTGGGGAGGAGAGAACTTAGAGTTATCATTTAGAGTGTGGCAATGCGGAGGCATGCTAGAAATTCATCCGTGCTCCCATGTAGGCCATGTGTTTCCAAAGCGTGCTCCGTATGCTAGACCGAATTTCCTTCAGAACACAGCGCGTGCTGCTGAGGTGTGGATGGATGAGTATAAAGAACACTTCTACAACAGAAATCCTCCAGCGAGAAAAGAAAACTATGGAGATATTTCTGAGAGAAAGCTACTAAGAGAGCGTTTGAAATGCAAGAGTTTTAACTGGTATTTGAAAAATGTCTTTTCTGAGTTGCATGTACCAGAAGATCGTCCTGGTTGGCATGGTGCTGTCCGCAGCATAGGCATATCGTCAGAGTGTCTTGACTACGTTTTACCAGAGCATAATCCTACTGGAGCTCACCTTTCTCTCTTTGGATGTCATGGTCAGGGAGGGAATCAATTTTTTGAATACACATCAAATAAAGAGTTTAGGTTTAACTCTGTGACGGAGCTATGTGCTGAAGTCCCTGAGCAAGAGGATTTCATAGGTATGAGGAGCTGCCCAAAAGATGGATCTCCTGTCCCAGAAATTATTATATGGCATTTCAAAGAAGATGGGACTATTTATCATCCTCATTCTGGAAAGTGCCTTACTGCTTATCGTACTGCTGAGGGGCGTGCTGATGTGGAAATGAGAACTTGTAATGCTGCAGATAAAAATCAGATGTGGAAATTTGAGAAATAATCACTAGCGGTAGTAAGAATCAAATTGAGCAGAGTCTCCAAGGTTTTTACATATGTGAGCAGATAGCAACATTTGACTGTATACCTTGGAATGTCTTCAGATGTGTCTTTCCTGTAGTGGTGTAGAAACTATCTGCTGTGGTGAACTATATGGAAAGCAAAAGCAAATGCTGGGAGTTAGTTTCTTAAACAGTGATTTACATTTCTAATGCCTTCTATTTTTGTAAAATTTTGACCAATTATTTTCTTATTTTGGTCTCTCTTAATTATGGCAAAACAAATCCTTTTGAGTGGACTGAAGAGGGATTTTCTCATTGTTTACTCTTAGAAAATGAGCGCATTAAGCCTGCACAGTAATGTTACGTGCAAGTAAAAATTTTGTACTTACTGAAGTAAAGTTGAGGTTCTTGCAGTGTTCACCTATTTGCAGATTCATCGAAATAGACATATCTGTTGCCCTAAGTTATACTGCAATAGCATGTGACTGCACTGACATTGATGTGGAAAGCTGAATCTGAAGTCTTGGAATATTCTGGGAATATTTTTTCTAGGGAATTTACATGCTATTAAGGGTTTTAGGGTGACTTCTAACAATAGTACTGCATTGAAGAGAAGGAAGCACTTCTTAGAGTATGTGGATTTGGGCACAGCTTTGCAGTCTTGCTCCTGTTCTGTAAAACTCACCTGACCAGGATGAGTCTCAAGTTTAGAAAAGAGAGCACAGTAGCAGTGAAACCAAGGACATGCTAGAGGTGCTGCAAATGGGAAGAAATGAGTGGTTAGAAATGTGAGTTCTGCTGGAAGGTAGTAAGTAAAGCACAGAATTGCATTAGCAGCTGCTGTTTCTTTGCTATGTATTTAATATTTACATCACTGTGTAAGCTTTTCATTAAGTTTGGCTTTGTAGAGCACAGTCTATGTGACTATGCCATGTATTTTTTTTTTTTTTATTAAATTTTAATGAATCTTACACGTTTTAGACTGACAGCAAAGTAGGGGGGAGAAATACAAAGGAAAAGTTGAGCTGTCTTATTTTGTATTATATGTTTGTCACCAGCTGGCATGCTCTGCACACTCGGTAGTCTGGAAATAGTGCAACATACACAGGTTCTTTCTATTCACCATAGTGTCCTGGGAGGCCTAGTCTGGAGTTGCTGAGGTAAAGAGGGCTGGAAAGGCAAAGGAGAGATTGGAAGAAAACAAGATGTCTTGTGAACCATATAATAAATCTCATTAATGTTTTCTGTATCCTGTTATACTGAGCTTTGAGTAACACCGATTCTAGGATCATGTCATGATTAGCTTTCAGTGTGATTATAGATAGTAGATGACTGATATGTTTTTTGTATTTGAAAAAAAAATCTTGATTCTGTGGTTTTTAGTTATATGCAATTAAGTTGAACACTTACCTTAATGTTTTGGGCATTTGAAGTTTGTTTGGTCCCTTACACTGAAGTGGTAAATGTCTTTCAGTAGCCACAGTATAGTAATCCTTGACTCTGGGCTGGTGGGAACTTGAACTTCGAGCAGTAAGAATCTGGATAAAGACAGCTGAGCTATGCAGTAGATGCTCGTTTAATAAAGGCATTGCTAAGTAGAAGGATTAAAGGGGAGCAAGTGAAACCTGAAGTGACTATATTAAAGATAATAAAGCAAGAGTTAAGAAAGATATATGTTAGAATCTTAGCAATTTTGAACAACGGAAGGGTTTGCGTGCAAACAGGCTGAGATTGAAGGGGAGCAGAGGAAGAAAATTTGGAGTGGGGGATACAATGTTGAATCATGCTCAAAATGCTTGCCACTGTGTGGCATGAATTGTTTTAAGCCTCTAATTTACTTTTAGGAGGTTACTTACAACTTAATTTTTTCTCTTTTTTTTTTTTCCTCTCTCCCCCCCCTCTCCCCCCCAAATACAATTTTGGGGTAAAAGGAGCTTCTTTACTATATAAGGGAGACATTCCAGCAAAAATCCATTCCACTGCAGTAAGGAATTGTTTTGCAGACCTACGAGTTATGAATCATGTATCAAATGGTAAAAGGCAACCAGTCATTAAGTACTGGAGGAACGAATTATACAAAGTTACGTGCTTTTGTGAAAAGCTTGCTGTAGGCTGTTATGATCAGTAGGTACAACAGTAAAAAGGCCTGGGTTCTTCTATGTGACTGAAGCATCAGCTGTATATGCAATGCATGTTTCCTCAGATGAAAGTAAAAAGCGTGAATATGGACTATGCAAATTTTATGCAATTAACTTTTTTTAGGATTTGACAAAAATATATATTTTGTATAATGAACAATCTTCATGTTAAATCTGCCATTTGAAGTGTTCCTTATCTGTTTAAGCAATAAATCAAAGTGAATCTGCCTCTTAAAGTTTAAAAACTTACTCTATGCATACTTGAACCTTTCTTCCTTCTCCCCACTACCTCCCCTTCTGTTTTTGTGGTTATTTAAAACCTAA